CGCAAGGGACAATATTTAGATACATATTTTACAATTTTTGTTTACAAGACGCATTTAAAATTACATTTCTTATCAGATAAATAATCAATAGCGTGCTTTTATTCATTTGGACGACATGACCTAGCCAGCAAAATCTACCACACCGATATGCTATAGGAAATAATTAGCGACTTGCAGAATTTGTTTTTGCTCGTTGAGAGAACGAACCTACTCAGTCCAAAGAAGCCTACTCAGTCCAAAGAAGCACCCTTTTGCCAAAAGTGATTCATCGTTGAGTTTTAATGCTGATATCGTTGTTGATGCTGGTTCCTGAACATCACCAGACCCATTTAATTTTAATTTTTGCCTAGCCTAAGGAAAACAGAATCTTGAAGAAATCACACGATAAAAATTCGCCCTACCTAAATCCTCATTTGATACCGAACGGTTCGGAGAGGTCCTTTTCAACTATAACTGCGCTTCTGGTATTATCCAGCGTCAGCTTACAAACCGTATAAGTTTTGCAGAGATATCCGATTCAGATGTAGTGGCATAAAGGCAGCTTCTTTTCATACTGTCGAAGGCAGCTTTAAAAACGATAAAACCATATGCTGGGTCTAGATACCAATATTGTATTAGTCAACAAGGTGGCTAAAGTCATTCTCCTTCCTCCCCATTTGCCTTCTGTCTAGAATTTTGAATGACATTTAGAAAGTCGTCCAGGAAATTGGTTTGGTTAAACGTCAAGTGCATTGGACCCATTGGCATATGAGCGAACATTGTTATAAATATATTTCGCTTTTTCTTGTGTCGCCAAAAACGTATATCAACCCCTCGACTCTGCTTGTATGCCATCAGAGACCACCCACACTCACTCACTAGTCATTCATATGCCTGATTTATTTGTATACAAAACAAAAGTCCCGGCAAGCCTTGGATGAATTAATCCTATATAATTTTTATACTGCTTGAGCCTTTCACGTCCGCTTGTTTATGAGATACGGCTTGTTTATGTAATAATATGGTGGTGGGTGTAATACGCCGGTGAATTAGTGAAAATGAGAGGTCATTAAAGGAATTAAGATTGCAGGGTGTGTTTTTGAATAGAAAGTCATTGCGTGATTGAGCTCGAATGAGCTTCATTGATTTACAACTTATTTAAGTAAATGTGACATACATATTTGTATGTATGTCTTTTCTAACGAAAATATCTGTTAAAGTGTTAATTGAGGTTAGAAAAAATACTAAATCAAGAGATTTTAGTGGAATACATTAAAAATTACACAAAAGTTAAATGAACTATTATTTTTCTTTTCAACAAAAGCTTTAACATTAACAATATGTATGACCGGCCATGGAGATGGATATTTTAAGATCTATATAAAAAGAGTTCGTTTATGATTGATTCCTGGAGACTAATGCTGGACAGATACATTAAAGCTCAAAAGTAATGTCATCACTCAAATTATAAAGAAATCGGTATTGAGAACTCAGTACTCAGTACAGATACTCTGCTCTCAAAATACCTCACTAGTACTTAAGAGTTCTCAGAACTTAAGAGAACTCACAGGTAGCTAGTTATACTTTAATTTAGTCTATGTCTATGTTAAATGATGAAGACTTGTACTCGGTATAAAGGATCGCAGATATATTCAAAGACGATTTTACACAATTTCTAGAAGTAATTAGTGACATTTTAGGACTTCAATAGTAGTACTACAATTACAAAAAATATATAATATTTTTGCCTAAAGTATCTTTTAAGATAGTTTCATATGTATTTTGCGAAAATGTATGAACTACTCTGTTAAAAGTAACATTCATCTGTGGGTGAGGGTGCATAACTCCAAAGTCGTTCACACTACACAGCTGCGCAGTTGTTCACATGAACTTAGAATCCTGTACAAAATAATCCGGTATTTTGGGCGAATCTCTGAAGTTGTATATGAAGTTTAGTGGGTAGTTCTATGAGTCAGAGCTTAATGTTACTATCACTTCTAGTGCGCTATTTCTTGATAAATTTTATATGCCAGCATGAACAAAAAAATAATTACTGGATTCGCTCATCTCAATATTACCGGACTAGGAGAGAGTTTAAATAGGTATATGTCCTATGCGGCCCACTACTTACTGGATAACTGGGCCTCTCAGGAGATCAACGGATTGATAGGTTTGGGTTGGGTAAGCGCCAAGAATTCCACAGTCATTAGATCTTTCTGATCTTGTAAAGGTCGAGTGGTTTTTCACCATTACTTTTTCGCTCTATTTATAGCCATTCATTGTTATGGGGTCTATGGTATATCTATATAAGTGTGCATGTTTTATTTTATTTTATTTTTATAATTATTCAAAGTACTGTCTGCTGAAGAACTGGGTCGGTTTGGCAGCCTGAAATAAATCATGATAATTTTTGATACCCTGCTCTGATGTAAATCAGGCGCTTTTCGGCAATCGCTCGCTTTAGTGTGCAAAGTTGTTGTTGCTAGTGTTCCCTATTAATGGTTTCACCCGGTTTCAGATGCTCATAAGACAGCACGCCCTTCTAAACGAGACAAATACAGAGTATCACATTGTCGTTATGGGTATTCGGGTTCGCCGTTGATTTCGCTGGTTGGCCAGGTTTCACATTCGACTTTTTGCCATCCATTTTTCATCACCAGTAACAATCCGATGCAAAGATGACTTCTTGTTCTAGCGTCTAAGCAGCATCTCTGACATGCCAAAACGCCTTTCAACGTCTCTTGGCTTCAAGGAGATTGTTGCTTGAGTGACTCTTTAAGATTCTGCGAGCTCTTCATTTCTTTGGCAATAGTTTTCATCGAATAAAGTAAGAATGGAAAGAATTGAAACTTTCTAAGTGCGCCTCCACAAATCACAAAGAAGCCACTAAACCTAACCTAACTTCCAACTTTAAGGCAACAAGTGTGAGTACATTGAAGTAAAAGATATGTATAGAAATACTTTGGAACCTACAACTAATCCAATCGTGACATATTTTATCATATAATGGCTCATAGAGATATATGGTATACTTACATATGTATACATGTACGTATGTGTATCCTTATATGATATACCTATATGTAATTTATGCAAATGTAATTTACTAATAAGGCCGAATAGAACACACATGTTGATAAAACTATCTTTCACACCCACACAACAAGACTAGAGCACACATATACATTGAGACAGACATACACACCAACAAATGACCCCAAAAGGCCAACAGCAAAACACTAATGAGCCACAAAATCCAAAATCAGGACACTTCGCTATTTGTTGCTATACAGCGAGCGAAAGAGAGCCTTGATGTACTTAATTAAAATAAATATAACTGTATATACGAAGCTAAATTGCATTAACTTGCTTATACGAAAGTAGTAAGTAGCACAAGTCAAGTGAATTTCATAATTAAACATAAAATAATATAAGCAATGCACGTGATGACGCAATAAGCAAACAGCGAAGAGATTAAAAGAGGCATAAAGACGGGGGTGGAGTGAGAATAGGTTATGCATTGAGCAGAAAGAAAGTTCAATAGTTGAATAAGCAAAAGGTAACATTCAGTGCGGCGCTCACTTTAAGACCATTATAATTACCGGAGATGACGATGTTGATGATGATGAACAGAAGGATAATGAAGTTGTACAAAGACAAAATGAGTCGAAAAAAAACGAAACTCAACTCATTCATTCATGCAGTTGTATTGCTTTGCGGACCAACGAGCATTGAAAATGTTGCCACACAAAGCCGCACACACACATACACACACCAATTCTTCACTAGTTAAAACTACACCACGTTATGCCACTTCACTCTACTCCGCTCTACAATCTGTGGCCACATGAAAACTCATATAACGTTTGTTGCAAGTTGAGTGAGTGCCGGGTGAGGAGCAAAGGTAGAACGTAGTATTGAGCGGCAAAAAACAAAAAGTCGGTAAATAAAATAAATGAAGAATGCAAAACCGAAAAATTAAAAATGTCGAGAGGCCAGCCAGCCAGCACCCTGTACATGGTCGCTGCCCCGTGGAGTGGAATGAAGCGCATTGGAGTGAAGTAGCACAGTTCGGACGCGCCGCTACGATCTGATGAGTGAAATACTGTAACAAAAGTGTGCTGAGTGGCTGTGAGTAAGAAAATGAGGGTGCAAATGAAGGAAATTGCTGAATGCAGACGGGCATGACAAGCCAAAACATGACGAGCGGCCGGCAGACAATAGGCACGGCGGCAGTGAAGTTGCGTGCCAAGGGAGTGGGTTGAGCAGTAAACGGTAGAAACACTATTTTTACGTCCTGATTTGGTCAGCTTGTGTTTATGTGTATTATTATATATATTTGTGTATGTGTGTGCATTTCAAATAGCATAGTCTGCCGTTGGCGTAGATTTTTGCGAGCATTACGCTTATTTGTATGACTGTGGCAGCCACTGTCCGTCGAGTTGTGAGTAACTGTTAGTTTTCATTTGGTTTACCCAACTTTTTTCGCCGCGCCACTCACTGCGATTGAGTAGTTTTACGGTGCAACGCATAGACCTATGCATATATGACACATGTGGTGTGTATATATGTGTGTGTAGTGGCGCATGCAACGCCATATGGTGGCAAGCAAAAACAAAACGGTGGCATATATGCAGATATTTTTACTGCTTTTAGCCATGTTTCGAGTATATTTCATTTGTTCGCGCATACTTTCCGGCACTACGACTCTACTACTATACTGCTATTTTTTGCACTTTTTTCTCCATTCCACGGCAACTTTTATATTTTCCACAGTTTCGTTGTTTATTGACTCAGCCAGCAACTGACAGCAGTCGGAAATGGCAGTAGTGCACACACACACACACATACGCATACATCAACTATTGAAAACTGTTGCCTTTCGCTGGGAGCGCGCCCCTGCAGTGCCCTGTTTGCTGCTAGTCTTCATATTGACTCTGAATGAATAAATTCTCTCAATTTGAATGCGGTTCCAATGAACGTTGCATGGCAGCGCTTGCTGACCCCGAGTCGCTCGAGTGTTTTTCTTTTTTCTTTTGCTCATTTTTTTTTTCGTTTTCTTTTTTACTTCTTTTTTGACTATTCCGCTTTGAGTTGCAACAGGAGTAGAACTTAATTATCAGCAATCGCTAGAGCAACAACAACAACAGCAGCGCTGGTGTATCATCCGCACTCAAAACAACGTCATTTACTCACTATGGCAGCCGCACCACCACCACCACTATCGCCGCTGACTCCATTGACTTGACAGCGACGGCATCAACATCAACAACTTACAACAAAGTGCGCCCGTCTCATTGAATCATTGCTGGTGTGCACGTTGCGGTGATCGCTCGATGGTAATTTCAGTGGCGCGACTCGTGACGATTGGAAATTTTACGAAAAACGCAAAATGAAGCAGAAATTCGGGCAGTTAAACGTAAGCATTGAATTGTACGAACAATTTTGACATCGCCCAACTCTAAGAGTGCTTATGTGTTTGTAAGTGGCTGAGGTGACTAACTTAAGAAATCATTCAAAAGTGCCGTTATATTTGTTTTTGAAACATCTGTGGTTATATAGTGTGCGAAAGTATTTGAAAAATTGGAAAATTGTTTAAAAAATTTGAATTAAATTAGAAAAAATTAATTCGTGCAAATATAACAATAAATAAAAAATTAAAAAATTGAATTGAGTGAAAAAATATATTGTGGTTCTAAAAAACGTATAAAACAAAAAAAGATTGTAATCATGCGGAATATGGGACGCCTATTTCAATATAATCGCTTCGTCGGAAGTGAAGAAGCGGTGGAGGATAACACAAAAGATACACAAGCAACAGGAGGCTGGAAAAATAATAAGGTAATGCGAAGAAGGAAATATACTAAAGAATATTTATAAAAAGAACTTAGAATTATTGTAGCGCAGTCTTAGACAATAATCCAGGCAAAATTTCGTGGAGATATCTTGTCAAAAAAAAGTTCTCGATATAAATAATTGCTTTTGATTGTCAGTTTGTATGACAGCTATATACTACAGGGGTTCGAGCCCGGTGATGCCGTCAAATGAGGTAAGCTTTAGGAGAGAAAATTGCCTGTTCAATATTTCTGATCGATGTCTCAAAAACTGAGAAACTAGTTCACGTATATACAGATAAACAAACGGACATATCGAAACTGACTCAGCTCGTCAAACTGATTCTTGATATAGGTACTTTATTTGATCTCAGACGTTTCATTATACCCTGTTGAGGATATAAAAACAATTTTGAAAACTGAGTAAATGCGCTTCTTACATGCATCAACATGGCTGTTAATCAGTAATATTAAAGTGTCGTCTCACAACTATTGAAAGTATTTTTTTTTTTTTAGAAATAGCGAGTCTACACCTTAGTATCAATATATTTCTAATTTAATGGTGATATGAAAAATATTAGTAACCAGTTCCATCAAAAAGAAAATATTATTGATTCATATACCTTTCTTTCGGCACAGAAGTCTCTTATAATTGAACCAACTGGGATGAATTTAAGGAGCAGTTTTCTTCATTTAAGCAACACATTCTATAAGTCTGTACGTTACGATACAAATTCCTAATCAAAGACTTAAAAAATCGGTGACAGCTCCAATGCTTTGTCTAGAATTATAACTGAATGTTTGTAAAACGCTTTATTCAATATTTTTGGTTCTTCGAAGAGTGATTTCTTCGTGATTCTCTCAAAAGGCAGCTAAAGTGACGTCACAAAAGCCGTTCGTCGCTATTTGGCTTCCAAAAAGTGGATATACATGCCATAGGTAAAGGATTTAAAACGAAGTTCTGAGTTCTGTAGTTTACTATTGGCAGTAATATTATTCTTTCAAATACGATCTTATAACTGAAGACATAAGTAGTAGTTGAAATAATGTTAACAATCGTTTAAGCATTTAAAAAATTCTGTCGATTCGCGGCAAAATTCATAGTTATAATTATTTTTCATAGGAAAATAGTCGAACCTTACATTTGTTAAAGGTTTTAAAAATAAAAGACTAGGTAACATAATATTTTGTATACAAACATTTAAGGGCTTCAAGCCTCTACCAGTTAGAAAAATATTAAAACTTGCCGATATTTGAAACTGATTTTTGTTTTAGATGAGAAATCTGAGTTTTGTGAATGTAGTACTTCTCGAATTATATTATTCATTTATTTCAATATAGTTCTAAGCAAGCGTTCTCAGATAATTATTCTTAGCTAGATTGGCATTGAAAATATCCTTCAAAATGAGAATTAACTGATATTTCATTAGTTGCAATACACGCAGTTCGGGTATTGAGATAAAATAATAAATTAGCCTTTATGTCTATATTTACCACAATAATCAATTACTTCCACAGATTTATATCATTTCTATTCCAGTAGTCAACTTCCAACTCAATGCAACTTGTTCCAAAACCAACACTTATTTCCAAATCCTTCCCTTTCCTTTAACTCCGTAACTTGAGCAGAGATTTCATTTTCCCAGCTGCTTATCGCCAGCCAAACTGTAAATATTTGCCATTCGATTATATTACTTCACTGATAAATTTTTTTTTGTGACTAATACACAACGAAAGTCAAAACAAAAGCGACCAAAGTAAAGGCAAACATTTGTTCTAATTTAAACCGTGGTTTGGCGATAATGATTGATTACCCACTTGGTGCCAGGAATGCATATACCGCAATATTTAAATATACATATATACATACATATATAAAATATAAACTCCATGGCATGTAAGTGTGTGTGTATGATAACGCTACTGTTTCTGCTTTAGCTCATGCTCTTATCAGCTGAGCCACAAGCAACTGTTGTTTGTTTTGTCCCAGTCGCCTTAAGTAGCAAGCGATCATAAAAATGCCTTTTGATTTAATACGGAAATAAATATAAATATTAAACTGTGATTTATCGCTTTTTACTGTGAATCCATAACAATAGAATTCAATACAAAAACCAATTATGCATACTCGAAATCATATTCTCCGAAGTGTCTTTAGGTGGTAATCAATAAAAAGAAATTTTAATTTTACTACACTTACGATTACAAAGAATAAGCAGCGAGAGCACTCAAGGAGAGGTCAATGGAAATCTATATATTTATATCATTTAATTTATGGGTTTTTGAAGAGTGATGCACTTATCCGATGAACTCTTGCTATTATATAAAGGGGAGCGTGTTCTTTAACATATACGAGTATGCTTCGATGATGAGGGTTTCAAGCTTAATTCTCAAAACATAGATTTAAAGACTATGTATTATCGTTATTTTAAAATCAAAATAGTTACGTAATTGATGGGTCTAAGTGATTGTCACAACTTCGGAGAGTTTACCAACAATCTGAAGGAGCGAAAACGCACCCTTTTTATAAGCCGAGCAACCGATTAAAATGTGACATCTCTTTGGACTATAATTTGTAGGCATTTAAAATTTTATTTCATTACCCCCAAAGTTGAGCCAGACAACAGTTGGCCTTTGACATGTTTATTACGCGTACTTAGAAGATTTCAAGAGCACACTTGTTTGGGTATAAAACAGAAACAACGTTGTATATCAATTAGAGCAAGAAGATATAAAATACCGCACTCGAGCGTAAATAGTGTGCAGAGGAAATAAAAAGAAAAGAAGATAACCAAAAAACGACTTTGATAGTGCAGCGACCAAATGGCGTAACGGAGCCACAAGTGTTGAAAACAATGCTGGAACCAATCTCAAGAAAACAAAAAGAATTAGATGCTCGAAAGGCTAACCAAAGAAGGCAGCATGACTTGAAGCAGTGCGAGTGCGAGCGTGACTTTTTGATAAGAGTACAAGGCTAAGCAATTGAAGGAGTAAACAAAGATTGCGACGGTGACACAAAAGCTGACAGGCCAACGGAGTGCCAGTGGATAATTGACGACACTCACATATTCATACTGATATGTTTGTATGTCAGCGCGTGTGTGGCATTTATGAGCTGAGGCCGGCATTGGCTTAGTAATTTTTCGAAAAAAATCCCACATATGCATACATATATGTGTGTGTGTGAGAGATTACAATCAAACACCAATTAAGAAAGGATAAAGACTCGAAGCGAGCACCAGACGGTCGAGGCTACTCAACACCGCTTTAAACAAACAGATGTGACTAGACGCCACAAACAAACTACCGAATGAAAATACAATAATAAAAACGAATAAAACTAAAGGACACAACGTCACGCTGCATGCAACAAGAATCGATAAAGCATACTTTCAAGCAAAGTTTAGAGTTGCGGCGATCGTTGAATGCGGCTGACCACCACAAGTGCCACAAACGAAAGTCAAGTCTGGATGATGGTGAACAACTTTTTTTCCACTCTGAGTCTAATGATAAATGAAGTTATGACTAGCTAAAAGAAAATTAAATTGAATGTTGTTTCACAAATTCAAAAATAAAAAAAAACAACAAAATCAGCGCCGCCTTCCGGCTCTTGGAGGCAGCAACTGCACTAGCATTGTGTGGCAGTTGCTGTGGTTGTTGTAATGTGGCGGCAAGCCTAATTGAAGCCAATAAATATGCAAGAGACGAATAGCTAGTTGTTGTTATTGTTGAGACTTCATACTTTTTATATACAATCTTCATTCTCTTTATAATTATCATTATTTGTTGCTGTTTTTGGGTTTAGTTTTGATTGCACTTAAGCAGCCGCTAATAAATAGTACAAGCAACACAACTGCCTGCAATTACAAAGTAGAATTTTCAAAAATAACCCAAAGGCCCTTCTTTGTAGACATTGAATATAAGAAAGCTGAAAGTGGGAAATGGGACTGAAAAGGGCGGTAGCGTTGAGTAGTGGTGATGGAGTGCTTTTATTATTGAATAATTAAAGGCAGAAAAGGAAGAGTGACTGAAAACAAAAATTAATTGTAAATTATTTTGACGAGAACAGAATATTAAAAAGAATTGGATACTTATTTAGTTTAGAATTATTGGAGGTAAATTCAAGCCAGAAATAGAAATAAATGTATTATAATAAATTTTAATTATTAATTATTATTTTTTTTAACCTAAAGAAACCAAAAAAATATATATTTTCACCTTAAGCTGAAATAAATAAGTAAAAAAATAAAAATCTAAAGAAATACAATATAAAAATAATAAAATAATTTTAAAATAATTAAACGAAAAGTATACTTAAAAATAAATTGAAAAAAAAAATTTAAATACAAAAATTAAAATAAAAACATATAAAAAACAAATACAAAAATTACAACAACAAAAATTATTAAACTACACTGCCGCATCAATTTGGCATTAAAAGGTATGCATTAAGCTTGTGGCCATGAAAAGAAGTCTAGGCAGCAAAAAAACATTACTCACACATGCATAGTTATACAAATAAATAAAAAATAGCAGAGAAAATCGAAATAAAAAGCTGCAAGTACGCTACCCCTGGCCATAATTCCCCCACACATATACAAATCTTTCGATGCGGCAATAAAAATGCCAGACAAACGTTTATAATGCACTCTCCGCTGCACTGTCTGGCATTAAGCAGATTTTCAAGAAATAAAAGCAATAACAACAACTACGCGCGGCAAGAAGAAAAATTATTTACATGCTGCCGCTGCTATTTTCAACTCAAAAATTTTCAAGGGCAGTGATTAATTGTGCCGGCTGGAGTTTTGGGGCATGCAACAGGATGCACATCAAACAGCTTGTACGACACATGTACGAATGACAGCAAAGCAAAATTCCTAACTAAGCATTTAATGTGGCCGACACTCGCACAAGTATTGAAGTGCACACACACACAAACACACACAAGCAAACATAAAAGCATAAAAGCGCGTTGAGTCGCGAGGGCAACCAAAGGCGCGAGCGCAC